TAACAAAAATAATCTTTAGCTGTCAAAAAAATTCCTCAGAACACCTGATTACACTTAGTTCCAATAAATTTGGATTATGTTGCATTTTACCTTTACGGCAAACCAGTTTCTTTTCAGGGTGTTAGATGTTCAAATATAAGAACCAATAAACTACATCTTTAATGCACTTTATAAGAGAATTTAAGTTCTGACACTAATATGATAAGAATTTTTTGGAATTATTCATTTAGAGGTTGGTATATTTTACTTATTTCAGAAAGGCTGTCCTCTGTCTAAAAATGGAAAGCTTTGGCCTGAATCTCTCAGTTATGCTACTTACAAGCCAGTCATTTGATCTCCTTAAGCAAAGTATTGTCTGTAAAATTACAGATTTAGTACCCAAAATATAAACTAGAGTAAGAATTGTCTGTGTTCTAACTGGAAGAATTAAGTTTCTATATTAAGCCTAACTAACATCACCTTTGGTATCTATTCTAGTATCAGTTTTTCTTCAGAGGGGTTCATGTGGCAGAACTGAGCCCCAGACCTTGGCTTAGCCAGGTTATATTCCTGTGCTTAGGCTGTAATCATGCCAGCCTCTATCCCTCCCCTATAGTAAAGTTCCCAATTACTTCTTAATTGTATTAGTAGAGCTTTGCCAGAAGAGGGCACTCTTGCCCATATGAAGGTAAAGGGGCACAGTTGAAAAATTTGGTTATAATTTTTAGGAAATATGGTGTCTGTTTTTAACTGCTGAAAGACAGTCTGAGTGAAAACCTGACTCAAATATATTATTCTTGTATCTAGAGCCTGAAAATAATAGAAGAAATTAGCAAATCTTAGCCTTGGGGATGGTACTCACCTCTTCCTTTGACATCCCCTTTCAGTTTTAGTGAGCTCTTTTAAAAATATTCATTACAGCAGATTCACAGACTCCAAGAAGGGACTAGCGGTTACCAAAGGGGAGGAGTGGGGAGGGTGGGTGGGGAGGGAGGGAGGGAGAAGGGGACTGAGGGGTATTATGTTTAGTACACATGGTGTGAGGGGTCATGGGGAAGACAGTGTAGCACAGAGAAGGCAAATAGTGAATCTGTGGCATCTTACTATGCTGAAGACAGTGACTGCAGTGGGGTATGGGTGGGGACTTGACAATATGGGTAAATGTAATAATCACATTGTTTTTTCATGTGAAACCTTCATAAGAGTGTATATCAATAATACCTTGATTAAAAAATATTCATTAATCCATTAATTTTTGTTGGGATATAATTAACATGTCACATATCACATGTAAGTTTAAAGTGTGCAACGTGTTGATTTAATACATCTATATGTTACAATGTATCACCACCATAGCTTAGCTAGTACCTCTATCACATCACATAATTATCATTTCTTTTTTGTGGTGAAAACAATTAAGATCTAGTCTCTTAGCAACTTTGAAGTTTGTGACACAGTATTATTGTCTATAATCACCATGTGGTGCATCAGAACTCCAGGTCTTATTTACTGGATACAAGTTTGTACCTTAAATCACATCTCCCCTGGTCCCCTACTCCTCAAGTCCTGGTAACCACCATTCTACTGTGTTTTTATGGTTATGGCTTTTTTAGACTCCACATATAAGTGGTATCATATAGCATTTGTCTTTCTCTGACAGTTCTAGTGAACTCTGATCCTCTTTCTACCACTTCTGATCAGCTCTACTCCTCTACCCCCAAAACTTATTTGTCCTTTATGTTTTCTCTTCAGGGTCCAGTTAGGGTTTTTTTTTTTTATTAATATAGACGAATTTAAGCACTGGCCTTCTGAAATAAACATACTCACTTTTGTTTTCTAACAAAACTGTGTCTTAAGGACACACTTTTAGGACAATTTGATAGATTTTTTGAGGGCTTGAGATCTTTGGATGGCTACCAAATTCCTGCCCAGTGTTGGCTTTTTACTCTGTCTACCTGTGGGGTGACTTGGATTAAGGTATTTAAATAGAATCTGCTGTCTTCCCAAAGTGGACACAATGAATATTCTCATTAATTTGAAATATATTTCCACCAAAGGCAGCTAAACTAGGGAAAAGAAAAAGTTTGAGAAGGCAGAATAAAACTTAAAAATTGAATCTCATCAGTGCAATAGAATAGAGAATTCAAAAGTAGATCCAAGAGAATATGTAAATTTATTATAAAGATGGCATTTCAAAGCAGTGGAGGAAATGTACTATTTAACAGATAGTGCAGAATAATTCACTAACATGGGGAAAACAATGAAGCTGATTTGTGACCTCACTTCTTAAAGTTAATTTGGGTATAGCAAAGATTTAAACATGAAAAATGCAACCATAGAAGTAGTAGGAAAAAATGTGGGCAGATATTTTTACAACCTTGGGGTGAAAAAGACTTTTCTAAACATTTCACAGAGCCCAATAGCCATTAAGGGAAAAAAATCTGAGACAGTTTAAGGCAAAACCAAATAAAGATCAGTTTAAGGGTGACTTGCTAATGGGTTTCAGCCCTGGAGAAGTTCTATGGATTCAATGAGACTGAAAAAAATGACAATGGAACATTCTTGGGGTAAAAGGATTTATACCCAACTTTATTCCCATGGTGGCAGGTCAATCACTAGAATCCCATCCACTCAGAGTGAGTCTGCGTGCAGCAAGCTGGTCTCTGCCTCTGGGCCTCTCTACCCCCGCAGCCGTCATAGTCTCTGTCCTCAGTGCGGCTACAAGTTCAGCCTCTGCTCTCCTGCAGCTGTGCAGCCCAGAGCACTGGGTGGAGCTCTTTATGAAGAGTCAGTAACAACGTATTGCCCACATGCGTGTAGTGAGCTAGCTGACCAAGAACCTTCACTTTTTCCACAAAGGGCAAAGAGCAAACTAGGAAAATATCTGCACCAGATATGACATATTAAAGGGTATCTTGAATACACAAAGAGTTCTTACATATCAGTCTAAAACTTGATAGCTCAATAGAAAAAAGTAAGGAGATGCCATGACACAGGCAATTCACAAAAGTACCAAAAACCATAAGGAAACATTTGAATCTAGCTAGTCAGTCATCAGAAAACAAAAATGATTTTTCATGTAGGGAAATGGCATAAAACATCAGCAGAGGGGATTCTCATGAAGCAGAGGAGAAGTTAAGGTGCTATCTGGCCCTTGGGTAGGTGTGCAGGTTGGTATAACACTTCTGGAGTGCTGTTTGGCAGTTACAATTGCATACTTAAGATTAATATACCCTTTGACCCAGTAATCCCTTTTCTAGGATCTACCCGAAGGAGATAATCACTGAAATGTGAAAATATGTGTGCATTAGGATGTTTTTTATAGCTTTGCTGTGTTAAAAATAACTAGCAGACATTATTGTTTAGATTGTGTAATCAATACCATTTATGATAAAGTTCTGTATCTACTGACATGAAAAGATGCCTGTGACATAAGGCTGAGGGAAGTAAGCAATTTACTTACTGCTTCTAGAGCCCCATGTGTAATATACACCAGTTACATAACATTTAGACATTTATGCTGAACACAGACATTGTAGGCAAGGACCCCCACCCCCCACTTTCTCTACTGTTCTATAAGGACAGCTGTCCACTGCTTCACCCCAAATATGTCTGCCCTTGTAGGGAGCCAGATGTGTCCTTGAGAAACCTGAAAACATGGCATGTTGTACCCATGAGAAAGGAGCTAGATAAGGGCCTTGAAGGCCAGACACCTGGCCATGAAGGCCACACGCATGTGTGTCTTCAAATACTTCTGTAACTATGAATTAGCACTGTAGCAGTTTAAGGAGTACAGCTTTATGCAGAATAGTTGCCTGTTTGAACACCTCCATGACGACTCCCGCCACCTTCTTTGCTTTTCGCATTGCCCGAAAACCTCAAAGGCAACCCCTGGACCCCAACAGATGTCTAGAAGGTTGTTCATCTTTGGAAATATAAAGAACTTTCTTATTTGTGTTTTTCTGCATATTGGAATTAAAAAAAAAGTATGCTGTGGATAAAGTGATTCTCACCTGGCCCTGGTTGGCTAGCTCACTAAATACATGTGGGCAATACATTGCTATTGACTCTACATAAAGAGCTATACCTACTGCTCTGGGTGACATGGTGGAACGGCTGCAAGGCTGCAGGAGAACAGAGCAGAGGCTGGAGTGGTGGCAGCACCAAGAACAGAGAGGCCCAGAGGATGGCTATGCAGGTAGAGAGGCCCCAAGAATGGCTGTGAAGGCAGAGAGGCCCAGAGGCAGAGACCAGCTTGCTGCATGCAGACTCGCTCTGAGTGGATGGGATTCTAGTGATTGACCTGCACTGTGGAAATGAAGTTGGGTATAAACCTTTCACCCAAGAACATTCTACTGTAATTTCTTTGGTCACATTGAATCCATAGTGAACGTTCCCGGGGCTGAAACCCATTGGCAAGACATATGCACCTTTATAAAGACAGAAAAGCTATACCTAAAGAGAGGAAGTGTTAAAAATTAACCTCAGAGCTGATTCTTAATAATTTTTATAATTTTTTAACTAAAAAAAAGACTGTGGTCTGGTACTCACTTTGGAGGAAAATCTCTAGATTCCCAAAGAAAAGTGTTTTTCACATTGCGGACTTGGGTTCTATCAGAATCACCTATGATGCTTGTTAAACACAAAGAGCTCCAGGCACTATCTCACTTCCCACCACAACCTTATCCCAAGCAAACCCAACAAAAACAACATCTCAGGGGGTAGGAGGCTTATGTGGCTCCCAAATTCTCCTGGTGAAACGTATGCATACCACTACTCAGGAAGAATAAGGGAGGATCAGCAAGTTCACCTGTGTCTTTCATATTTGTATTCATATACATTCTCTTGCTCTCTTTGTTTCTCCGTCTGTTTTCTCATAATCTACAGAAGCTGAAATTGAGATGAGCTAAGGGCACTGATATCAGGTACTTTAAGGATTAAAGTGTTTAGAATACCCTACAGAATGGCTGGTATTCACAGCAATCACCAGTCCTGTTGTCTCCATTTCTGTCTCATCTTACCTGGTACGTGGGTTTTTGATGAAGCCAGTGTTTATGAAATTAGGGCAGAGACACGTCGTCTTGACTCCAGGTTTTCCTAAGGCAGCCAGTTCTGCAGTCAGAGCTCTATGAAACCCAACAGCAGCAAACTTGCTTGAACTGAAAATAAACAGAGAGAGCTCACACAGTGATTCAAAAAAGATTAAAAAAAATAATTGTCTTTTAAATACAGGTATCTGTTCCCCTTAGTGAAGTGTGGTCCTCTGCCGGCAGGTAGGGGCATCACCTGAGTCAGGCCTCAGGCCAGACCTGCTCAATCAGCACCTGCATTTAGAAGATCCTCAGGTAAATTTACAGGCACATGAAGTCTAAGAAGCACTGACAAAGAACATTTACTACATCCCAGCACCATTTATCAGAGTGAGAACTGAGTAGGTTTAGATGTCTTATTTGGAAAATTGGTGGGCTGTTTTTGTTGTCACTACTTCCATAAAATTTAATGTTTCTGTAGGCTGTTCCTTATTTACTATAATATGTCCATGGAATTTTTGGGAAATTTCTCCTGGATAAGTCCTATTCTTCCTTTAAGTCTCAGCTTGACTTCCTCAGGAGGCCTTTCTTGACAGCTAGTCTATAAATGATCTCCCCCATTATGTATCTTCAGTTTTCTATGACAGCACATCTTTGATTTGTGATTAAATATTGATTTGGGTGGATTTTTTAAACATCTGTCCATCATACCTTTAGTAAGCTCCATGACTGTTTTGGTCTCTAATGAATCCTCAGTGCCTGGCACAGTGCTTGACTTATAATAGGTGCTCAATAAATGTTTGTCGAATGAATCAAAATGAAAAGCAATTCTTATTGTCATAGCTCCTTCATTTGGAAAGAAAAGGAAAACCAATCATATTATAAGCAGATATTATTTTCCCACTTAGATTTTTTTGAAAAACAACTTTATTGAGATAAGAATCCATGTACCATGTAATTCACCCATGTAAAGTATACAGATCAATGATTTTTCGAACATCACATTACTTTTTTACATTGTACAAAAACATATATAAAATTTGCCATTTTAAGCATTTTTAAGAGTGCAATTCAGTGGCATTAGTTACCAAGTAGATTGTTTTTCTGTAAGTCTATATGGATTAGCAATTACATAAGGTAGTTGTAAATTCTTGCCAATTAACTGGTGCTTTGAGAAATGCAAAGCTGTGGAAAGTTCTTTCAGTTTTTTTTTAAAGTTTAGACATCTACTGAAGATTTAAAAGAAAGATTGCTATACTCAATTATATAAAATGTAAATCTTCTGTATCTTGGAAAACAATACAAAAATAATCATATCTGAAATTGATTACTATACACTAGACACTGTCCTCGATTATTGAGATTTATTATTTCATGTAATCCTCACAGCTCTGAAATAGATATTATTATGATCTCCATTTACCAAAAAGGAAACTAAAGCATAGGGGTTTGTTGGTTGGAAATCTTGGGAGCTTCCCGGGTGTAATCTGAAACTGGCCCCTGTACACAGGGTGGAGATAGACCATAGAACAAGGCTAGCCACTCTGCACTGGCAGGTGGCAGGTTAGGTAAGCAAGGGATCTTACTTAGGAGGCTTGCTTGGGCGGTATAAGACTAGATCTCTGCACCTGTCAGTGAGATCATAACATTTATGAAGGCTTTAACCGGGTTCAGTCATGTATACCGTCCATATGATCTCAACACTGTATTCCTTTCTCAAGGTTGTACCTTGGGTCAGCTCCTGGGAGAGGGGAAGGCAAACTCAATGCACATTCCAAGGGAGCCTCTGATTGCCTGGGACCAGCTTGTGGGTCAACTGCTGTTAATGTCTTCTCGATGACCTCCCCCAACAGGGTATAGGACTTGCCCAAGGACATAAAACCAAGTGGTAGAACCAGGCTTTAAACTGGGGCAATAAATCAGGCCTCTGAACGGTAAACGCTAAACTTTATTAAGTCCCAACCAAGTTAAGAAGTAACGGACAAACTGATAAAGCATTATCAATACATAAAACAAGGATAAGGGTTAATATATGGCATAATATAAATGAATAAGACAATACTCTAATGGATAAACAGCTAAAGTATATTAGCAGAAGATTTGCAAAATTAAAATACCAATTAAGCATGGATACAAAAATGTTTTATTTCAGGAGTAAAATAAGATAGAATTTTTACTTAGCAGAAAGGTTGAGGATATAAGGGAATTTTTATTTGTTTGAAGAGTTTCTCAACATACAGAATATTTTCATTTTATGTCATTGAACTATCAATCTTTTCTTTTTAAGCCTTCAATATATGTCTAAGTTTAAAAAGAAAAAAGTGAGAAAGAATGTCCCACAGCTATTTTCCAAAGCTGTGCCAGGTTAATTGGTAGCCTTTTCTGCAAGGCAATGTGGCAAAAGGTATAAAATTCACTAAAAATATGCTCTTACATCTAGTAATTTCTCTTTTAAGTATTTAACTAAAGTAAATAATCAATCATGTTTTTAAAGTACTATATTCCAGGATAGTCTCTGGGGTATACAGTTCATGAAGGCAAACAGCTGGAAACAATGTTAAATGTCTGTAGTGGACAGCTGTTGTTTTTGTCCATGCTCCCTTATTCTGCCTGCCTCTGATTTTGCCAAGTAACATTCCCTCTTCCCCTCCCCATCCAGTGGTTGGATCCAGGCTGGTTTGGTTAAAGTACACTCCAGAACTAGAATGTTTAAGGCATTACTGGGGAGTCATGGCTTTTCCCCCACCTGCTAGTCTTGGAGTTGGAAGGGTTTTACTCCAGAACCGCTGGTAGCTAGCTACCTTGCCAACAGAGGAGGAGAGCCTGCCTGAGACTTTATTGCAGAGCCAAAAAATTCCTCTTTTGGTCTGGGGCCATCTAAGTTTTGTGTTCCTTGCAAATGAAAGAGTCCTGACAAACAAATTACCCACACTAATGGGTAAATTGAATAAATAGCGGCACATGTTCAGTGTCATACCATGCAGGAACTGAAAATGATGTTGTACATATGTATTTATTAACATACAAATGTTTATTTTTAATCAAAAAACAGCAAGATTATTTATGCCAGATTTTTTTTTTAATGCATGACTAGATAGCTGTATTTAAAATGTTCTAAAAATTGTACCAAATGCTTACCATGGTTATTTCTGCATGGCAAGATCATCAGTAAATTTTCTTTTTTTCTCTTACTAAACTATATTTTTTGATTTTTCATAAGTGAACCAAAAGTTCACAAAATCAGGTATATATTAAAACTCAGAGTTAATGATCCTGAGTGTGTTAAAGAAATTTTACATTTTTGAACTTCAGGGTGAATTTGTTTTTAGATACATATATATGAAAGCTAATAGTGAGTGGATTATTTTTGGTGCTTGGTAACAGTACACCAAATTTCTTCTTATTATTAATAATATGAGTTAATATTTCTTATTCCAAATGATTCTTTTAAATAGCATTTCAAGCTGGTGATCAATTTTGCCATATACTCTGCCCCTACTCGTGACTATCATGTTTTTAAATTGGCTATTTGAGGTGACAAAATATATTTCCAGAGTTTTGTGGCACCCTAATTGTTTTCTTTTTAAAATTAAGATAGTTTTGGACAACATGCTGAATAAGCAGCAAAAAATTTTTTAGAACAGAATCAAAAGATTAATCTCCCTCACATGGAATCAAGTCCTTTTGCCTTAATTAAATTTTTCACATTAATCATTAAAACTGTTGAACTGTAACTCCAAAAGAAATTGAAATTTTTATTCTAATATAGGTGATAAAAGCTATAGGAGATTCTTTTGCCGTGGCTGTAACTCAGGACAGTGACAGCTGAGGACTCGATTATGAGGAAAGGAACGGTGACGCTAGGTCCCCTCTCACTCATTCTACCAGTCAGCCAGTCAGGTGCTAGGGCACAGGTGAGCCATTCCACTGGGACAACACATTCTGGCTGCCGAAGAGAGAAGGGGAACCTTACTAGTTGTACGAATACAGGGAAGTGGAATTGGAATTGGAAGGTAATATTGTTAGGTGCCCTCCTGTTATTGCACACTTGCAGGATTCCAGATTCTATGCTAAGTGCATTACATATGATTTGAACTTTACAGCATCCTGATGAGTGAGTGAGTTGATATTATTAGCCTGTTTTATGGATGAGGAAAATGAATCATAGAGAAGTTGAATGACTTGCCAAAGGTCACCTAAAGTTAGTCAGTGATTAAGTCAAGATTCATAACATCATTAGTCATAATAACCCTATGCTGGAAACAACCCATATGTTCATAAACAGTATATAAAGATCAAAACCAGACAAAATTAATTTAAGGCATTACAAGTCAACAGAGGGTTACCTGTGGGAAGGAAAGAGGGATTGGTGATTGGGAAGAGTTCTCAAAGAACCTTGTTGCGTCTTGTAATGTTCTATTTTTTCCTGCATGGTGGCTGTATAGATGTGTCCACTTTGGATGTAACTCAATAGATGTAACTTATAATTGAGCTTATGATTTATTCATTTTTATAAATGTATGTCATACTACAATAAAAGAGTTTATGTTTTAAAAACCAGTATCTTAATTTAATTGCCCAATTGTTCGTAACAACACTGATAAACATTGCTTTCTGCTGGGAGAATCCTTCAGTGTGTCCCTCTGGAACTTTCTACCGTTGACTGGATGCTGAGCAAAACCCAGAGAGCCACACAACTTGAAGATAATTGTGGTCAGTAAGGACCACAGACTGCAGCAGCTCAGGCCCATGAGAGCTGAGAACCCAGGAGGAGTTCTGTAAGGGCAGGCAAACCGCAGATCTGTCCCAAGGCTGAAAATGCACGAACCGCTTGTGTGGCTGCAACCCTGCCTTCTAGCCCAAAGGGCAACTGTGTGAATTAGAAAAAACTACTTCTCTTCTCACACTACTTCCCTGCCATCTGCTGGAAAAGCATTCAAGTTTGAGAGGACCTGCATGTGAACAGTGCACCCTAGGACTATGTAGGGCACAGTCTCCACAACTGGGCGCATCACACCTGCTCTGACAACCCTTGATGAGAACCTTTACTTCTGCTGAAAGCACCACCACCAGTCACCAAAATAAATGTTTCTCACACAAAGCATGTTTTTTCTTGGTTGTCGCTGCTGAACACTCAGTGGAGTAGAATCAAATCAAAATAAAATGAGCTCTAGTATGCACTATGGCAAAGGGAAGCAGAAAGTGTGATATCACTCATAACTATGTTGGACTCTGATTCTCTTTGTTTGCCTTGTGCCTGGGGACTAACAACTGGCAGGGGAGGGGAATGTCATGCAGTAACCTAGCAGCCGCACCCGCAACCATCTTTCATCCAGGAAGTGAGAGAAGTGCCAAACTGTATTAGCTTTTGATGGCTAGTGGGGCTAATTGCCTGACTTAAACTGCCTCTGAAAGAGATAATACACAATATGGACACCATAGGTCTGTTCTGTGACTGCTGCAATGGTTATCTGATCTCTTTTAAAAAAAACAATAACTTAATGGAAGACTGTATTTACTTTTTTAACTAGAAACAAATACATGGTCAGGAAGGAAGGACAGAAGGAAGGAAGGAAGGAAGGAGATGAAAAAAAAGAAAAGAAAATTATTTATCTTGCCATTACCAAAGAATAACCACTCTCTAGCTCTCTAGGTATGGTTAGAATAAATCAGTTTGGTAATATCCTTGCACACTTTTAAAACTCAATATACACATACACACATTTATATAAAAACAAGTTACCCACCCATCTATGCCTATTGCATATATTTATACACATATCTATGGCTACATATAAAACTACATGTATGTTGTTTCTACAGTTTAGATACTTTATTCTAAAAGAGTACTATGGTAGAAAACAAAATTGAGCATCATGTGTATTCATATTTATTTGCATAATTATAATTCAACATTTTAAGAGCTATTATTTACTAAAATATAGAAATGGCCAACAACTTTCAGGGTGTGTACAACCAGTAGGATTACCTTGGCTCTGGTGGCCTCACTGACCAATTCTTTACAGCATACAGTGGAACATACCACTTCTGTGCTCTGCTTGCTATGTAAGTTCTTTAATTATTGCAAGGCATGTATTTTTAAACAGAAAACGATTATACTTCCTTTTTTTACAACAATTCCATTGTTCAGATGCTTTTAACATTTGGAGTCCAAGATTATACTCTTTTTCTTTACACTGTTTTGTTTCCACAAAATTACTTTACTGAAAGTTATTAACTTTTGTTCATGGTACAAAAGTATTATTCTTGCTTTATAATTCCTTGCTGCTAAATGGAATGAGAAATGCTTTAAGCACTTGGCTTCTAACTGGATAATTTCCCTGTAGCCACATCTTGAATGGTCAACCTAGGAGGGGATTAATGGTTTGAGTGCTGTTGTACAAGAGACTTCGTGCTACTTTCTGCCCATTTTAGCAACTTCAAGTCTATAGTTCTCATTAGACAGGGTAAGAAATCACACACAAATTAAGCATAGAAGACAATGATGGAAACACACGTTCACTTACCAATAAGCCAGTAGGAAGGGGACCACAGTATGCCCAGCTGCTGAAGCCACAGTGACGATATGGCCATGATTATTATTCATCATTGCTGGAAGAAACGCCTTTGTAGTCTAGGAATAGTTTTTATTAAGAGAGAAAAAAATACTGTTATTTCTGATTAGGAGACCTACTGGGAATATTTTGAAACAAAGATATATTTTGTTAATATTGTTCCTACATAAATGAAAAAACCTAGATTAATCACCCAGTGTGGCAACATAGGGCAATTGTATAGGGTGCCTAGATTAGACAAACTAAACCAATCAGTGGATATTGGATATTGAAAACTTTGCGAACCCATGTCATTTAAATTGTGAAATTCTTATGACCCCAATTCTCCACTTTTTGTCATTGATGTCTTCTATCATCTTGGATACAGGTGTAATGAATCAGTATAATAATTAAGAGTTATCAAAATAATTTACATTTAATGTGAAACTGTTAGAAAATAGTATGGTTATGCCATCAAAATAGTGAAGTGCACAGCAATCTTCAGCAGTCATTGAGTGACTCATGCAATAAAAATGTATTGAGCACTATTATATGATTGGGATTCAGCAACAAGACAATAACCTATGTTCTAACGGATGCAGAAAGATAAACTTGTAAGTCATAAAAATACAAAGACAGATGCCAAAAACTTGGGAAAATTGACATTAAATAATATTTTACTTTCACCAATTCCAATATTCTTTTGAGATTACTCATCCCAGAGTCACAGTCAGGAAAACTTTGGGGGACTCTTTTAGGAACTGGCTATTTGGACAGTATTTGGACTCTTCAGAAACACACCCTTTCTCTTTCCTCCCTCTTCCTTTTCCTACTTACTGCCCCCCAATGACCCCTTATTTATTATTTAAGACTGAACAGTGAGTCATAATAATGTTTACAACTTTGGGGCCAGGAAATAACATGAGGTCTGGGTCACATGGGCATGTGAAAGCAAACTGGGTTCACCTTTTATAGAATCACAGAAGATAATTCGGTTGACCCATAATCCCTTCCTTCAACTCTAAACAGGATCACATAGAGACATGAGGATCTGACTGAGAACCCAAACACACATAACACCTGATGTTTATTATTAATTAGTTAATTAACATTGTTAATACTTTTTGAGGAGGGAGAAGAAGAATTGATGAGATTTGGTTGTAGCATGAAAAATGATCTCTTGGTATCTGGAGAAAACTTCAGTATTGACTTGATATGTCCTTATGACTGCTAGAAGTTCTTAAATTTAATATTTGGATTTTACAAAAGGGAAATCATACTTACCCAGAAATGTGCAAGCACATTAACTTCAAACGTCTTTTCAATCTGAGGGTCTTGTGTAGCAAACAAATCCGATGTGTAGACTACACCAGCATTATTTATTAAAATACTAACATCTCCAATTTCTGCCTGCACCTTTAAAAATTAAATAAGAAAAGTATTTGTATCATTAAGAAGTAGGGGGGTAGATTTGCATGCAATGACTATTAAAGAAGTGTTTTTCTATTAGACTTGGAAAAAAACAAATTTGTAATCTATGTGCCAACATGGAAAAAAAGAACCTTTTAATTTCAGGTACTTTATTTCAAAAGAAGCTCACCTACAAATCTATAGGTATAAAATTTCCTCTGCAATTCAGTCTCTTGACTTTGCTCTATTGATTATAGCCCAGGAGGCATTTGGCTAAGAAAAACTAAGTGACAAATAAGCAACATTTATTTTTTTAAATAGTACTTTCAAAGGTAAGCAGAAAAAAAAGTTAAATTCATTGGCAACTGCAGGGACTACTATGGGAAACTATGTAAAACTGATTATACCATTAAGCTGGCCACATTTTCTCTGTCTTTATTTTTGTGGTTGCTCCATTCTTTCACTCATCAACTGTTCTCTGTTGGACAGGATGGCACAGGAGGCCAAGGGGCTGTGGGCTTCAGGGCTGGCGATGCCAGAATGTCTTACTCAATATTTTTACAGTTCTTTGAGTATCTAACCTTCTTGGTGGGTGGACTCTAGAGTAACTATGCATTTTGTTATGCATTGTGGTGCAAATAAAAGCCAACTAGAATTATCATTATTTAATTAGTGCTGTCGTGTGTTGGGCGACTGAGAGTGGTGGCGAATAGCCTATTAAAAGCTTTCTCACTTAATTCTCACAACAATTCTATGAGCTAGCAACTCAGTATGCTCACTTTAAAGATGAGAAACATGAAACTTAGAACAGCCAAGTTTCTTGTCCAAGATCACACAGCCACTAAAGGCCACATGTAGCTGGGACTCTCCCAGACCTTGGGACCTCAGAGCCTAAGAGAAGCCACAAACCTCAAACGCAAAGGAAAAACCTGTCAGCATCCCAGTAGGACATCGGTGTGCCGTCACTAAAGGCTGTCAGCCAAAACTTAATTTTATCAGGTTAATTTAAATTATTAAAGAGTCAAGTGAAGTTATTTGGCCCTTGATCAACACTATCTGTATTATATCCACATCTCTAGCCCAAGATGAATACTGTTGTTTAGAATAATGTTCCTAAGTTATTGAGAAAAACAGGACCTTTTATGTGATTGAATTGATAAAGCTGATGTATTGTCTCCAAATGAATGACTCAAAATATAAATTACTGTTTTATATTGCCAAACAATTTGCCCAGACACCCTTGGTCCTTCCTTCATCCTTGAGCTCCTCAATGTCACCTATCATCTCCCTAGGATGTGAATGTATGGTTTACACCTTTCTTAATAGTGAAAACAGGCCATACGTTTAATTGTTTAGGTGTATAAAAATATCCTGATACCAAAATAACCGCATCAAAATATCTAACAATCACAGGTCATTCATTGTGTATACTCAGTGTGAGCATATAGTTTATCTTAGAAAAATTTCAGTAAAAACACTATGGTTAAGGGAGGGATAAGGGGAATAAGAGGCATTACAATTAGCACACATAATGTAAGGTGGGCCTGGGGAAGGCAGTATAGCACAGAGAAGACAAGTAGTGACTCCATAGCATCTTACTACGCGAATGGACAGTGACTGTAATGGGGCATGTGTGGGGACTTGATAATGGGGGAAATTTAGTAACCACAATGTTGCTCATGTAATTGCATATTAATGATACCAAAAAAAACCCCTACTATGGTTAAAATACATGGAATAGCTTCAAATAATAAAATTATGTTTTCCAGAAAAGCCCATTCGCAGATGATTCTAGAAATGAACATTTTCTATTTAGGTAACAGGATACTAGGCTAGTAGATCCCCCTAATAATGACTAATAACAAAATTTTATAGATAATATTGGCATTTATAATAAAATACTAATAACTAATTCTTACAAAGTGATTACTGCATGCCAGATACTGTTCTAAGAACTTCACCTCATTAGTTCACCTAATCCTCATAAGAGCCCTGTGAGTTAGGCACTGCTGTTACCCACATTTTATAACTGAGGAAACTCAGGCACAGAGAGTTGAAGTGACATGCAGGGACATAGCCAGAATTCCCTGGAAGAATGCACATATCTATGAAGGAAAATCACGGCTGATTTAGGTAAAACAGATACTGTTAAGTACAGATGTTTCTTGCTTACAAGCCTTGCTCTTATTGTACCCTCTTTCAGGAAAGCGATTTCTCACCACTGACTTGGACAATCCTACTTATTCTTTTGACTTAGCTCAGGCCTCACCAATAATAGAGGCATCAATTTGAAATATACGATTACAATTTAATAACAAGTTAAAAATGCCCTTGATCTAAGATTCCCTAACAAGGAGGTTCTCAAGTCTAGCTGAAAAATCTTCATATTGTAGTGAACCAGAAGACCCAGGGGTTACAGTCCAAGAATGTCTATTTTAAGGAATTTGCTTAGGTAATTCTACTGACCTTTTTACCATTACAGTATTTAGTTACCAAGTACAAGTATGAATGTGTTCAGAGTAAAACTCCACTATACATAGCACGTCTCAGTTATATACAAAGGAAAATAATGCTTTATAGAAATATAGATCTATTTATGATCAATGCCTGATAAAGTCAGGTTTACCCTAACTTCCCAGCCCAGTTCTCTGAGTAGATTTCAGAAGACCCTGCCGGTGTCTTCCAAGTACTGACCTGTATCAGCTTCAGATGGCTGAGGTGTGGGTACGCACGGTTCTAAGCACACAGATTTCTAGGCCCAGGCCTTGACCTACTGAAAGAAAACCTCTGGGTACCTATTTTTCAGTAAGCTTCCTGGAAGATTCTGGAACACACTGAAGTCTGGGAACTTCAGTTCTAGGTTCTAGTTCTGGGTCTGTCACTATCCGGCTGTACAACCCTGGGCAAATTGCCAAACTTCTGTTACTCTGCATCATGACTGGGTCATTTCCAAAATCCTTCTCAGCTTGAACACGATATAATTCTAACCACACGTAAAATCTCACCTGCTTTGCGCAGCTGTAAATATCTTCTCGGTTACTGCAGTCTACCACAAAGGCATGGGCCTTTGCACCCAGTCTCCTGCATTCAGCAGCTGTTTCCTCAATTCCATGCTATGAAGAGCAACACAAAGGGCAAGGCCAACAAAGAAAATAACATGAGCATATTTTATATCAACAGCTGAAAATAATTAATGGTAGGCAGATTCTTTGAACAAGGATTGGGCAAGAATTTAGCTGACGTATTTTTGGCAGAGATAGAGGCATACTTTACTCTCAGTGCTTTGACTAGCTTATGTTACTTGGAACTAAATTCAAAGCAAGCAAAGTATCTTAGAATACTAATTTTGTATTCATGGATTTTACATATTTTGCAAATGTATGTATGTGTGTGTATTCCACATGAGGTATTAAAAAATACCATTAAGCTTTTTTTTTGTCACTAAAAACTACTAATGGACATCAATTTTGGGGCTGCAAAATAAATCAGGAGTTAACCACAGTTAACTTTATTCACAGTTCCTTCATTCACTCATTCCTCCAACATTTCAATGTGTAGGTTGTATTTATGGTGCTCAAAAGACCCTTGTGGGCACAAAGATTAATGAGAAAGAGTTCTGACTATAGCAAGCTCAGAGTGTTGCAGAAACAAACATAAAATAAGCATAATATTTAAGTAGGGAATTGCCATTGTTTCAGAATAAAGGATTGAATATTGGCAGTTACATCTGGTTCAAATTAATATGTTTGTACTAAGTATAGTAATATAGCTATATACAGTTAGGGGAACACAGAGCAGCAGCATGCAGTACAATTCTAGTAGAAGAGGCACCTGAGTTAGGTCTTAAGTGTAAGTAGAACAGCTGGGTAAGGAGAGGGGACAGCACATGCCAGGCAGAGAGCAAGCAAAGGGACAGGAAGGAGAGACATCCTGTGGGAAAGCAGCACCAGCCGACTGGGGATGCTGGGTCATAAAGGTCAAGGCCAGCAGGAGTCCCGATTAAAGGGCATTTTAAGCCACGTTAAGTTTTATCCAAAAAGTTAGTGGGGAGCCACTGATTAACTCACAGAATCAGATCTGTGTGTTGTATTGATTACTCTTCCTAATGCATGGAGGGCAGAGTTTAGGGGTCAACACTGGATGAAGACAGAAAAATTAGGAAGCAGTTACAGTGATCAGGCAAGAGATGACCAAGTTTGAATTGTGGCATGAGAAGAAAAAAATGTGGAGAAGAGAATAATCTTTAAAATTTATCTTTAGGAGGCAAAGTCAGCAGGACTTGGTGACTGGATGAGGAGCACAGGCAGGAACCAAAGCTGACCTCTTTGCTCTTTAGTTTTGGTAGCTGGCCACATACCAGGAGGAGAACACAAGGAGAGAGCAGATTTGAGAAAAGGAATGATGAGCCCAGCTGGGGGCACTGCTTTTGAGTCATCTTAAATTTAGGATCAGACCTTGGGTTTCTGTTTTTATTTTTTGTTTCTATTTTTGCTTGTTTGTTGACTTGCTTTTGACCAATTTTTTAGCTTTTTTATTTTAAAGGATATCTCAAATAATACCTTGAATTGAGGCTTAGTCTGTGAACCCTGCAAGCCAAAAAATTAACTAATGGAGAAGCAGACATGTTTCCCACAGTAAATGCAGTAAGAGAGCTTACATTTATCTGCAGAGAAAATGATAAAACAGAACACTAGTGTGCAAATTTGCTAGTAAACAACAACTGCTTTTGCAGAAAACCCAAGTCTGAACAGTCATGGAAAAAACTAACAGTTTGCATGTTGACCTCATTGGGGCAGTAAAAGAAAATAGGGTATTTTCCCTTGGCTGAAATCTCCCCTACAAAATGCAGTACACTCTGGTAAGGAGCCCTTATTCCCCTAGGACCATCAAAACATCTCACGTGAATCTTATGTTGTCCTCCTGTACCTAATAAGCACCTCTTAGCACTTTCCTTTAAAAGTATATTTTTAATAATGTGGTATATACACACAATGGAATATTATCCAGCCTTCAAAAGGAAAATTCTGACACATGCTACAATGTGGATGAACCCTGAAGATATTAAGTGAAATGAAATAAGCCAGATACAAAAGGACAAACATTGCAAAATTCCAGTATGTAAGTACTGAATTTAGGTAGTCAATCAGAGAGACACAGAAAGTAGAATAGTGGTTTCCAGGGACTGGGGGAAGGGGAATGAGTAATAATTGTTTAATGGGTACAAAGCTCAGTTTGGGATGATGACAAAGTTCAGGACGTAGAAGTCCGGTGTAACAATGTGAATGCACTTAATGCCACTGACCTGTACACTTAAAAATGCCTGAAATGAATATATATATATATATTATTACCACAATAACAATTTTTTAAAAGTATATTGTACTGATTCTTTGGGTCTTATCTTTATGAAACTCAGTCCTTATTTGGAACAAATTTTATAATAAAAAACCATTTACTACTTATTCCATTCTCAGAGATTTGCTTATTAATGGCTGACTTTCTGTGTCAAACGACTGAGTATGTAGAGGTAAAGCTGTTCGTCCTTCACATCTGCAGTCCTGCTTTTGCTATTTGCTTGGTCCTCTGAACTTAGGACTAGGGTCTGCTTTCCACATCCTCTGAACTGCGCAACAAATTTAAGTTCTAAATTCTGCCAGGAAAAATTTTATACAGTTTCCATATTGATTTGATAAGAAATAAAAAATAAGCAGACCTTCAGGAGAGAATGGATTCCGCCTTTAAAAATTTTCTCAGCACAATGGAATTGCTCATCATTCTTTAAGATCTTCTTTGTTAACTTTTTTCCCAGTGTGCTGGATTCAGTTTCAAATTTTAATCCTGGGCTCTCCTTTGATCTTTACTTATCATTCTTTGCTCTCTATCCCCACAACTAAAACTTTTTGCCCATTACCTAGATTACAAAAAATCTAAATGTTTTTCTGAGATCTTCCATTATGTTTCCCTAATTATTCATTAATTCACTTTTCCATCCAATAAGTGCTTTTTCAGCATGTACTATGTGCCCTCCACTAACTGTAAATTTATCTTTCTGAATTTATCTAACCAGGCATGGGAGTGAGAATGATCAAGAAACAGGGGATTATCTATACAAAACAGAATGAATAATTCATGGCATCAGTCTCAGTAGAATAACAAAGCTGAAGCCACCACCAGTCTCTCCTAAATTCATGTTCCTTTTCTGTAGCCTTCATAGTGAACAGGGAGACGTCCATCCTTGACATCCAGAGATGATTGTATTTGGACACTGCTCTCCTTGCTGCTTGAGTTAATCTGAGCCATTTTCTCTGGGGACAATTTGTCTTTGCACCCTAGGTGAAAAGAATTATTTGATCTGGTCCCTCCCTGCCATTCCAGCTTGATCCGTCTTAACTCAACTTCACTTTCTCACTCATTCTCCACATATCTTCTAGTCCAAGAGTTTTACATCTCTAGGTTCTGCTGCCTGGACTTCTTGAAGTTTCCACCCTACTCCCCTTCCCCAATCAGGCATAGTGCAGGTATAGTGGTTCTCAGACTTTTATAATTTTTAAATCTGTACAATTCCAAGAAAAGTTGACTGGGGTGTATATACTGAATGAGGACTGCCAGCCTTTTATTTGACCAAATAAGGACATTAAAAACAAACACAGCAACTATCATTGTAATTTCATTAACCAATATACATATATTATCCACAAAAAATAGTAAGGGCATCATCTCAAAATAAACAGTGGATTATTTAAATTAAATGAATTTAGCATAATAAAAATTCACTACCTCATCCTTAATTTTCGGGCCAGTTCCACTGTTCTGCCAAGCCTGCATCATCTCTTACCTGGATTATCACACTAGTTTCCAACTGCTTTCCCTGCAACCCAGCGGCTGGAGGAACCTCTTCAATACAAACTGGCTCAGACCTGCCACTGGCTCTCCCAGGAAAAGCTGAATGAAGCACAGTGAGTATCCTAGAGGAATCTTTATGATCGGGAGACACTGTTCCTTAAGTCTCAAGACCAGCATTGTCCCACAGAAATAAAATGCAAGCCCTATATATATATATTAATTTTTCTAGTAGTCAAATTAAACATTTTTTAAATTTAGTAGTATATTTTAATATATCCAAAATATTTGAAATATCTGAAATTTATTATTATGAAATATCATTTCAACATGTAATCCAAAGAGTAGTTATTTATAAGATATTCTACATTCCTTTTTTCATACCGAGTCTTTGAAATCCCACGGAAATTTACACCATATGTCAATTCAGACAAGCCACATTTCAAATGTTCAATAGCCACAGGTGGCTAATGGCTACTGCCTACATGTATTTGGACAGCACAGATCTAGACCTTTTTAATTATTTCGCTCCCTTCCCTCACTCTGTGCCAGGCTCTGCATTTGCTGCTCCCTCTCTGCGGAGATGTGTGAGGGGCTCACTATACCCTCAGCCTCTTCTGTTCTTGACTCAATGGTCATATCCATCTCATTGAGGCCTTCTGTGTAAAATCAACTCTCTCACACCTGTCCACCCACCATACAGAGTCCCCATCTCCTTTCATGTGATACTTTTTCCCCTGTACTTATCACCACCCAACATTGCATATTTTCTTAGAGCCTGTCTTATTTATTGTCCCTAGCTCATGAGGTTCATGTTTTCTTCGCTGCTATATCCTCAGTTCTGCATCAGAACAGTGCCTGGCAGAGAGGTGTGTCCAATAAATATTTATTAGGTAAATGCACTTCACTCTGAGTCAGAGAAAAGTTTGGACAAACTGGGTATTGGGTGTCAGGTGCCTCCTGGAAACCTCTTCATCAATCAACCACTGACCAAATAAAAGGTAAGATTCTAAGTCCTTCTCTCTTCCTTAAGCCTATACCTATTCTGCTAAAATATTACACTGAAGATTTTTTCTTTGTTATTATTTTTTAACTAAGAGATGATTTAAAATTTTACTGTTGGCAATTACTATGGCACAGCAATGTTGCTTTCTGTTGAATATCTTTTAAGCTCACCTCAGTAACTGCAAGTAGGATTGTTTTTCTTAATAGGAACAAAACTCTTCCTCTTTTAATATACTAGCTAAAACTATTACTTTTTCTGTATGATTAAGATAGATGAACCTAAGAAATCAGGTTCAGGAGACTACAAATTATTTTCAAACCAAAAGTGAGGCTAAATTTACAATGTCAAATTAGTTAATGGGCAGTAACTGGGAACCTTCTATCTTCTAGATCCGTTTATCATGTGATCATAAACACATCAATCAATCCAAGTTTTCCCCCTATAAAACGGCAATAGTAATTTTTCGACCTACTCTACAGAGATGCTGTAAGGCGTTGCTGTCTGCAAAATGCATACGTGCTTACAGATTAAAGGTGTCAGGAAGTAAAACACAAAAGCACTATTACCTTGTTTATATCCCACAGAACCAGTTTGCTTTTAAGTTTGGCAAATTCATAGGCCGTCAGTCTCCCAATTCCATGCCCAGCTCCGGTAATCAACACAATTTCTCCGGTGACTGATTTTCTCTTCTTGGGAATAAAAAGCTTCAGTAGAGACTCTACGGTGAAGACGATCAGTAAGGGCAGAAGCAGGAGGCACTGCAGAAAGAATTTCATCCTGTCGGTTGCCGCTAGCTTTTGTGTTGTTTTCTTCTGCCAGTCACAATAATTGCTTCTGGGGAGTTGTTCCGTCAAACACCAGAGAGAATAAAAAACAAGAGCAAGGAAGGGCAAGAGCAAGAAACAAACAATTCTGAAACCGTTCCTTCCGCTGGGCTGGACTTGGTTTAGGTCCTTTGCAATTGGCTCGGGCTGCAGTGCGGAGCGACCGCACGTTGGCTCAGAAATCTGGGAGGGACAAAATCCCGGGCTGCAGGGCTTCCTAGTACGAGCAGCCCGACGGGGCAATGCCCCGGGCGTTCTTTCCTCACTCTCTCCCAGTCCCGTGAGCCGACCTTGGAGGGCTAGTTGCCATTTGCTTTTACCTAAATTCGATAAATTTCTCGCACTGTTAGGTAACTGACTGGGTCCGCAGTCCAGATGCTTCTTTGAAACTTGATGGTTGCCCATCACTAGTACGGGGATGCAAATAGAGTTTTCTGCCTTAAGGAAACCTGGGGAGAAGGCCAATTGTGCAGCTCCCTCCCAGCTGATAAATAACATAGCGTCGCATTTTAGTTTGGGCTAGGCGGATTTCTGGAGGACAGAGAGAATTTTGTCCTTTTAAGGACAGGGAATATCAAGCTCCGGGAAAAATCTGATCATATCATAGGGGATTGTTTCCACAAGGAAGAGCAGTATATTTGCATAAACTTTTTCACTCAACCTCTTAGAATGTGCGAAAAAACATATACTGCACGTTAGTAATTGTGTCTTCATCCAGGTAAATACATGTCTGCCTGCAGAAAGAAAAATACAATGGAAAGAAAATCAACTTGTATAAAGATTACCTATGTAACTTCTGGTTTAGTAGCCAATATATGTTGCGTATTCAATAGATAACTAGTGATCTAAAAAAATCCTAGAGCTGGGTTACTGAAAGAAAAGACCCTCTGTGGGTTTGTGTGCATTAAGAACTTAATGATTGTTACATGTATTTTTTCAATTCAGTTCTTGACAGTAATGGACCTGGGGCTTTTTGAGAGACATAGTACTTAGAAAGAGACTTGTCCGGTGAGTGACGAATGGCTACCCTTTATATTTAAGAGAAGATCACAAAAAAATTGAAGTGCATAAGTAATTCATGAGCACTTCCTCCTCTTACTTAAGCAGCCCTATTGTCTGCAACTTCTTACAATCCTCAATACCAAGTTCACAGGAGTACAAACACTTGTATAGAAAGTTTCCAATTTCCAGGGCTTTTTCCTATGTATGTTAAATAATTTGATTATCAAAAATCCTCCTAGGAAGTAGAGAAGCAAACTATCTCCCTGTTTTGTAAACAAATAAATCAGACTTTTTAAAGTTCCCATAACAAGTTAAAGTGTTACTAGTAGAGTCAGTGTTGGTTAAACTTTTCTGCCCAACACCTTGTGAAAGAAAATGAAGTTCTGTGTTTCCCTCATGGCGGTCCCATAAGCAATGAGAGCTGTGCATGCTATAGAGACCCCAAATCAGCCAGGTTGGCTTGGGCAGTGCTGTGAGGATGTCCTGCAGCCATTCTTGCCTCTGTTACAAGACACAGAGACTCTTAACCTTCACCCATGGCTGGAACAGAACCAGCCTGGAATGCTCCAGAGAAGAAAATAAACCAGTCTGGTTCTTGTGTCCCTAGTAGAATCCTTCAGGAATAATCAGCAATCCTAATTATTGCTTCCTTTCACACATACAGCATTAGAATATCCACTGTGTGTTCCTTTGGGACCCTGCCCTAGTGTACCAATTGATAAAGCCTCATCCCTGCACCCACCCCCAGCTGTGAAAGATTGTTAATGTCTTCTCAAAGAAAGGTTTTGAAACAGTTTCTCAGAACACAGTGGTAAGCTGACTTCTGGGTCAGGATCCGCAGTAAGCCACTGAATAAACTTTTCTTAAACGCAACAACAGTGTTGATTTCAGTCAACAATCTGTAGGGAGAAATCACATTTTACAGGGTGGCAGTATGTGTATGTGTGTTTGCTTTCATATATATTGGAGGCTCTGGCTGTACTGTTTTTCCATTTAAAAAAATTGTAGAACCTGGGTAGTTTTGACCCACTAAATTGACCAGGGTTCCATTGGTCTAGGGAAAGAAGCCAGTGTTTGAAAGTAATCATATCTGGTCCCATACGTGTACGTGACTTCACCTTCCTGAGCATGCTTCCTAATTCGTACAGCTGGAATTTTACTAATATTTACCCTACAGGCTTACTGTGACATTCAAGTGAGTTAATATGAAACACAGTGATTTATCAACTATTAAACTATGTAAATTATAATTAACACTAATATAATTGTAAAGGGGATGGTTTTATGAGTGATGATTAGCTACTAATCTGACACAGTGAAAGTGTGTGATTTTATATATTTGTAGTTTTTAAAAATACCTTGCATTGGGAGAGTTTAAAATGTTTGATATGTGGAGCATGTTAGTTTCACACTGCCTTCCCAGCTGTTGAAGTAGCATTAAAAAAAAAAGAAAAAAGTAAGGGTAAGGGGTCCTTCAACAATGTTTTGAAAACTTAAAATGGCCAGGTGTTATGCTAAGTACTTCACATATATAAATGATACATTTTATCCTGCCAGTAACTTTAAGCAGTGGGTTCAGTTGAGCTATTACATGAATGAAGAAATAAAGGATTAATAGAAATAAAGTGCCTGAGGTCATGCACTTTTGTAGTTGAATTTAAACCTAGGCCATTATCACTATGATAGATTGCCTTCTCAGGGTAAACAAGAAAAGCTAAGCCAATTCTAAATCACTTTGAAAATTTGAAAGGATCAAAACTCCTACATTTCATAACACCTCCTATGGTTCATAACTCTTACAGCACTCATAACTACTCATACCATTAGGTAACTTAAATGCCTAATTAGCAGACAATAGAGTGCAGCTATTAAAACAGTGAGTTTGAATTACTGCCGGCTTTTTATTAGCTGTGTGATAGCTAATAAAACTTCATTACTTCCCTCTCCCTAGGTCTCAGTTACCTCACCCATAAAATGGATATAATAGCAGTTGGTTAAGTAAATGAGGTATTTAAAAAGCACAGAGCATGTCATCTTACATACAAATATGGTTAATGAATGATAGCTATTATTATATCTTAACTGGTAATTGTTAAGAGGTCTATGTTTGCAATGCTGGCTATGTAGAATCTTAGTCGCTTCAGAATGAAAGGCTACCATACTTAGCATTTACACAGATCAGTGAAGAATAGTTTTCTTTCCACTCTTATTCTAAAGAGTACTGAGGAAGAACATCCAGAAATGATTGCCAGACTCTGCTAAAGGTGGCACTTC